TCAGAACTTTCGGAATTTCAGAATTTCTTAACATCAGAATTTTTTAAATTCTGAACTGTTTGGGCTTTAGAACTTTTGGAACTTCAGAATCCTTTGAAGTTCAGAGCTTTTGTAACCTCAGAATTTCTCGACATCAGAATTTTTTAAACTTCCGAACTGTTTGGACTTTAGAACTTCTTTTAAACTTTTGAAATCTCAGAACTTTCTCAACGTCAGAACTTTTGGAACCTCAGAATTTCTTAAACTTCTGAACTGTTTGTATTTTAAAATCTTTTTCAAATCTCAGAATCTTCTCAACATCAAAACTTTTTCAACTTGAGAACTTCTGAAACCCCTTTGACCCTTTTCAAAATCAGAACTTTGTAACCTCGAACGAACGGACAGAAAAAATTTCGAAGAATTCAAGTTAATAACCTTCCCCCGTATATGAGAACTTTGCTTTCAAAAAAATAAAACTCTGTTTTAACAAAATCAATTTTACCGCAGCGTCCAGCAATCAGAGCTTTGAAGAGCTCCTCTAAACACACGCTCTTCCAGTTCTCCGAAAACTTTTATTTATTTATCCGCCCCTCCTCGGGAGGAGCGATATCATCAAAGCTGTTCAAAGCTCCCCCTCCCTCCCTGTTTGACTTGGAATGGCCACCGCTCGAAAACATTTATTTGCATTCCAGCCGCGTTTCACCGCGCCTCGTTTCGAACGAGCGCGAAACAAGCTACACGAATTGACAACCCGGCCTTGGTAACGAGGCGTCGTAATGCACGTGCGACCGCAACGCGACTTCCATCGCGTTGTCGCCTGCCCGATCGCCCGATGAAGGCGATCGATTCGTTCGAAAATCCCTTCCGATTCTTGAGGCAGAGAAACATCGAAAACGACGTTCGCTATGTGTCGGTGACGCTTTCTTCTTCGAGAGAAATAAGATTTTGACCATTTACACTTGTATTTATATTTATAAGAAGGTTATCGATCGAGTGAGAAGAGCCCTCTAGAATGTAAGTATATGTATAATAATAAAATATGGCGACGTATGAATGCAAAGAGTTAAAACGGAATTTTAAAAAGAAGGACTTAAATATCTTTTAAAATGTACTTTGGAATCAGAGAATTTAAAATTTAAGAATAATAAAAATGCATTTTACAATTTTAAATCTAAAATTATACCATATATATAGTAACATAGTTGCCAATTAGAGCAACTATATTCAGGCCAAAATACTTAAAATTGACTTTGAAAACGAACGAAGCAGACATTGAAAGCAACTAATTCAGAATCGGTGTTACAGAATTAGTTAATGAAAACTAAATTTTATAAAAAATATATATAAAAATGTTAAACCTGCTTCCGTTTGTCGCTCTGTTTACGTTCTTACGGCCGTAACATTTGGGCCTCGTGAGGAACTCAACGAAATCACGCTGGCCGACGAACGTGTCAATCCCCTCTCCTTATTTTTCCTGTTCTCTTCTCGGAGAACGTGCATCTCTTCTACGTAGATTCGAAGAAAAGGAAGAAGAGGAAGAAGAAGAAGAAGAAAGAGAATTGAAGTCGAGGAAGAGGTTTTTGAACGAAGTTTTGAAAGAAACGTGTTTTAGTTCAAGCGAAAGAAAGGAAAAAGAGAGAGTGAGAAAAGGGTGTGATCGTTTGAAAAAAGGTAACAAGGAAACGTGTTTCGAGCGTAGAGAAACGTCTGTTTGGTGTATATACGTCGTAACCTGTCCAGAAACGCGAGAAAGTAAATAGGTCTTTATTCACCGTTCTTCCGCTTTATTCAACGCTCTTCTCGCGCTTTTTATCCCTCTCAAATCGCGCAATTACAATCCGGAAAAATTATCTTATGCCTGCCTTCTTCGCGCCTCAAGCGAGAAACGTTCTCGGATGATTAATTTTTGATAAATCGGATGTTAGAATCTTT